CCTTTGCATCGCTCCCACCCCGCAAGGCCCGGAAGATAACCACCCCAAGAAGAAGAAGAGGAGAGATTGGGTTTATACCCTGCCCTTCACTACCCGAAGGAGTCTCAGAGCGGCTTACAAACTCCTTTCCCTTCTCCCCACAACACACACCCTGTGAGGTAAAAGAAGAAGAAGGATTGGGTTTATACCCTGCCCTTCACTACCTGAAGGAGTCTCAGAGCAGCTTACAAACTCCTTCCCCTTCCCCCTCCCCACAACAGACACCCTGTGAGGGAGGTGGGGCTGAGAGAGCACTTTCAAGGACTGCTCCTGAGAGAACAGCTCTGAGAGGAGTGGTGACTGAACAGGAGGAGATTGGATTTATACCCCACCCTTCACTACCCAAAGGAGTCTCAGAGCGGTTTACAAACTCCGTTCCCTCCCCCTCCCCACAACAGACACCCTGTAAAAGAAGAAGAAGAAGAGATTGGATTTATATCCCGCCCTTCACTACCCAAAGGTGTCTCAGAGCGGCTGACAAACTCCTTTCCCTTCCCCTCCCCACAATAGGCACCCTGTGAGGCAGGTGGGGCTGAGAGAGCTCTGACAGAAACTGCCCTTGGGAGAACAACTCATATATATACATATATACTAAAATGACAGCTATACAATGACCATATGTGATAATAATTAATATCTTAAGTCAAAGCTTTTCTCTTATTCAAGTTAAGAATAAAAATTCTGTTCTGTTGTTTCGATATGCAAAACATTAAAATTTTTGACCATGCAAGATTATGTAATGCAATATAAACATTTCTTCTAAAGAGCTTAAGCTGTTTTCTGCCTTTCCCTCCTCTCTCCTTGCTTTTGTCATCTCGGGGTGGTTTGGGAGCTGCCGCTCCCAATTCTGATTCAGATTCTACTTCTGAGCTGCCATCTGCAGATGTTCCGTGCCTTTCCAAGTCATGCGCACTGTCCAGTTCTCCTTTTTCCTCTGTGTCCTTTGTATCTTTTTAAGGTTCCTGATGTCTTTTAAAAAACTGCTTCGCTTTGGTAAAGAGAGAACAGCTGTGAGAGAACCGTGGCTTGCCCAAGGTCATCCAGCAGCTGCACGTGGAGGAGTGGGGAATCAAACCCGGTTTTCCCAGATTAGCGTCCGTGCTCCTAACCACTACACCAAACCGGCTCTCTGCACCAAGACACAGGAAGCCTGCACTAGACGCGCAGGAGGACGGCACTGTCACCCACGGTGAACTGTTTGCGACACCCTTCCCCACCGGGCCAGGAAGTTTGCCTCACCCCTCAAGTTTAGATTCGGGTGGTCAGCCGTGTTGGACAGAAGCAGCCAAGCAAAGTTTGAGTCCAGTGGCACCTTTAAGACCAACAAAGTTTAATTCTGGGTATAAGTATTTGTGTGCATGCACGCTTCTTTAGATATGCTGAAACAGAGGAGAAGAGCAAGAGCCCCGTAGCACCTGAAAGACTACCAAGATCTGTGGCAAGATATGAGCTTTTGTGAGTCACGGCTCACTTCTTCAGGGACAGTTAGAATGGGAGTCCATCTGTCCTTGTATCTTGGAGAGTGGAGTGGGCAAACGGCAATAGCAGCTGAAGGAGAATAGCAGGTGGGACTGGATTTGGTGTGACATGCAGAGGGGTAGCAGGCGTCGAGAAATCAGCACTGGTTGAGAGACAGGAAACCTAGGTCTCGATTCAGTCCAGGAGGCTGCACTGCCCTGAGCTTCATTATCAGTTGCAGTCCAGCAGTTGCTCTTTCTAATCTCCCTCTGAAATTCTTTTGTAAGGGAACTGCTGGTCTATTGAAACAGAAGTCACATATAGTGGTTGGTGACATCTGTCTCAATGTATCTGAGGAAGTGTGCCTGCACACAAAAGCTGATACCTGGAATAAACCTTTGTTGGTCTTAAAGGGGCCACTGGACTCGAACTTTGATCCCCCCAAAATCTCGTGCCCCGTGACTTACATGATGTTGGCCTTGTGGACGGCCGTCACCTTCTTGCGCCCGGCTTCCTTCGCCAGCTGGAAGGCATATTCGGCTATGCGCAGCGACTTGGTCTTTGTGATGATCTTCAGGCTCTCCACCACACCAGAGACGCTCTATGTATAGGGGGGGGGGTGTATTTTAATTAATTAATTAATTTTATACCCCGTCCTCCCCGCGAACAGGCTCAGGGCGACTTACATTGGTTGGTCCACGGTGACCATTAAATCTACATAAAATCATTTAAATAGTTCAACTACAAAAAAAATCATAAAATCAGAAAGTGCTGGACACATCGTTCATTAGTTAAGACGGCGTACTAAAATGCATACATACATATAGCGCACAGTGTTTCAGCTCAGTAGTCTTCCAAGCTTGCGCGATGGCACAGGCCAGATGTTAACACTGATGACCAGGATCTATACTACGATTCCTGGTGGTGCTGGTGGTACTAAGGCAGCTCCTTAGTTGAAGGCAATGTTCCCTCTAAGCTGTGGAGTCTCGTGAGCAAAAATTCTACTTTGTGAGCTACTGGCATTAAAGTTGTGAGCAAGCCATTTGGCTCCTGCATTAATTAGTTTGCTCTGGAGCCATCCTTCCTGAGCTGAGACAAAAATGTGTGAGCTGGAGGATAAAAAAATTGTGAGCTAGCTCACTCTAACTCAGCTTAGAGGGAACACTGGTTGAAGGCCTGGTGGAAGAGCTCCGTCTTGCGGGCCCTGCGGAACTGGACTCTTTCGTTCTATCCACCACCGCCCACACACACACACACATGCCAAGAAAACATGGTGACCTGGGAGGAAATCCTTCCTAGCAACCGAGAACACCACAATTTCTGACTCAGAAGGATCAGCCCCTTTGGGACAGCCGCTCCCTTCTGGTGCCTTTTGCCTCCAACGTGTCATAGGATGCTGCTCGTTAATACATTTTAACTGAGCAAGGGCTGAAGAATGGACAGCAGAATGTCCTGACAGGAATAGCCCAAGCAAGTCCAATCTCGTCAGATCTGGGAAGCTAAGCAGGGTCGACTGTGGTTAGTACTTGGGTGGGAGACCTCCTTGGAATACCAGCAGCTGGGAGGTGGGGGCAGGCCTTATTCAGCCTCCTCTCTGAACATCCTCCAGGCAGTATTCCCTCTAAGCTGAGTTAGCGTGAGCTAGCTCACAGTTTCTTAGCCTCTGGCTCACACCTTTTCGTCTTCGCTCAGGAAGGATGGCTCCAGAGCAAACTAATTTACGCGGGAGCCAAGTCACTCACTCACAACACTGTGACAGACCTCTGCCTGGGACCCTGGAGAGCCACTGCTGGTATGGTAGCCGATACTGACTTCGATGGGCCAAAGCTCTGATTCAGTATAAGGCAGTTCCATGTGTTCACATGTATGTGATCACACTAAACAGGAGATGGCAGGAAGTGGGCGGAAGGGTCGGCCTTCCCCCACACAGCTCACTGGCTTGCAATGTAGCTGCGTTCATGGGGACTGTGCCGAAAGCCACCTGCAGGGGAGGAAGAGAACCAGCGGGCCACCGTAGCCGCCTCTGCCTATAGTACCTCGTGCTCCAGGTTGCTGTACTCCCCCTCCGTGTTCTCCCGGACCACGAGGATGTCGATGTCCCGATGCCGGGTGGCCACGCCCGGGAGACTCTTGCAGTGGATCACGTTCGCAAAGAGGTCCAAGGTCGTGCTGGGAAAGCGGAGAGAGGAAGCGAAAGGTCACGCGGCGGAAACGCTGCTCTCGAATGACTCTGGAACGCACCCAAGCCTTGTGGCCTTCTGGACTCTGTTCACCGTTCTGTCCTTCCCCCCTGCGGCTGCCTCCGAAAAAGCAGAGGTCATTTCAGGGGGGATCGCGGGGGATCGCAGTTTCCCTGGGTGAGGCACGGGGGCGGGGCACATGACGAAGCACCGCCCCCTGCTTCCGGCCCTCATTCAGCCAGGAGGAGGCAGGAGAAGAGGGAGGGTAAGTTGCTTCCTCCCTGCCTCTCCCCACCCCTGCCTGCCTG